GAACCTGCCAGGGAACGGGGCAGAGAAAATCCCACCATTCAAAAGGCTAATCTGACCACCAGGTGAAGAATATTTCTCTTGTGATTTGTCTCAGTGATCAAGACTTTTTAACAAACACATCAGCATGTGTTTGACTCAAATATTATCACTTTATTTTCACAAAAAAAAAAAAACAAAAAACACCCAAACTTCTGTGTTAACTACTTTGGAGACTTCTTGAAAGCCTGAGTCATATGTGAAAGTGAACTACCAGCTCTGTCAACATGACCAGCTGTAACTTTTTTCCTTTACAGATATTCCAAACCTAGGCAATCTGTATTCAGAGTGGATTTTTTTTCTGATCTGAGCAAGAACAAAAGCATGTTTTCATTTTCATTGATCACAGGCATTCTTTCAATACTTTCTCGTTTGTTTACCTACTCAGATAAATTAGTGAGTCATATAGCCCCAGTGCTCTCAGTAAACTGATTTCTTGTTTGAAAGTTGTGTCTTTTCTCTCTATTCACGGCTCCATGAAATAATGATCCAGCTCCAAGTTTTGCCTCACACGAACTTTCACACATAACACAAGACAAGGAGCTAGCTTTTTGTGGAGCTAGCATCCCTCTAGAGTTAACAGCCTACTTCATTTCTAGGAATCCCTGTCTGTAAGAAACTTACCTCCTCTTTAAATACTGTGCAAACACAAACTTGGACAGCATAAAAGGGATAGTTATTAACTGCTGGTATTTAAAATCAAGGGGAAGAATACAATGCAGTACAGTAAGTGCACACTCAGCTCTAGTATCACCCAGGGCAGCGTGTGTTGTTCTCACCATGCTTCTCTGCCCATATCCTACATTTTCTCATCCAAATCATGGCTTACATAGCTTAGTAAGAAGTTCTTCAATTTAAGCATGGCTGCCATTGCTAGAACCCATTGACACAAGGACTGCTGTGGTAGGACAGGAGTAATCACTTCTTTGGTAACATTTTGTCACATGCTGTAACATGACCAAACTGCTGAAGCTCAGCCTTTTCTCCATAGGGCACACCTTGCAGATAATTGTGCTGTCAGTCTGCTCCATGGCAGTTGTCAGCCCTCTGCAGACTGAGACATGTAGACCTCCTGTAAGGAGGACATACCCATGCTCTAAACTTTAAAACTCTATATAAGATGAAGATGAGCCATGAAAAAGTAATTTGACTCTATTCATCATCTTTATTCCACAGTTATCTGAGAGGAAAAGTATCAATTAAAGGTGAATGCTGTATCAGAGCTAAGTTTTCTTAAGGAAGTACACTGCTCAGAATATTAGACAAGCACCTTTTACAGCTTTGATGGTTCAGTCATGTCAACAATTACAAAGCAATGCCCAATAAAACTCAACTAGGCCACCTGGTCCTTCTTTTTACAGGAGTACAACAGAACCATTATTCTTTCAGCAGTTTGCATCTTTTGAGATCTGAGTGCTTTTCTGTGCATCAAAGTAGACGTACCTCAAAAAATAGATACCTTACTTTTTAAACTATTTTTAACAATATCCATAGTGGCATTTTCACTTAAATTATTAAATTTAAATAATCTTAATTTTTCATCTTCAAGATCTCATTAAAATCCAACTCCCTTGTCTTGACTAAGAGCTCAGCTGAGATAACTCACTGTTTACCTGTCCTGAGGTGAGAATGTATGACTTCACTGTAGTAGGAAAGGTCTGGGACTGTTCCCTCTGATTTATGTGTCTTTGAAGTAGGCCTGAGATGAGTCAAAGTATATACTGCTCAGAAGAATGAGGAAAGGTATATATTACACAGAAGGAAGGAAGTCCAACGTCTAGGTTCCTATCTGCAAAGAGGAGGAGTGAAGAAGCAAACAACCAGCAGCTCACTTCTCTCTTGTCCCTGACTTTGGCCAAGTCTTTTTACACAAATGGGAAGCAGCTGGCTACCCACCTAATCTTAATGCTTGTAATATTGTACATTATGTTTTCCACAGTGTAGGTCTAATATTCAACACAGAATTTCTGTGTGGAAACTTGCAGAATGGAACTGTGTTTCAGAGAAGATGAGTCTTCATTGACCTCAGGAGAAGTTGCAAATGCTCAGTTGTTTTGGAAATCAGGATACTTTCATGGGATCCCATGCAAGTATAAACACCTAAAAGTTTCAGATTCTGTGGCTTTTAGACATTACATTGGTTTGTGTACTAGTCAGGAGAAATACTGCTAGGCATGGACTAAAACCACACAAAACACTGAGCATATCCTACCTTCTTCCCATGACAATCTGACAACTGCACAGTACATTTCAAGGCCCAGCATAAAGGTTTGCATAAAACAAATTATAAACACTTCAGGCATGCATGACACAATACTCTATCAGTGGAAATGTCTGGGGCACATCTGTTCTGAAGCTTTCCATGCTTCAGAATTTTTCCATGCAAAAAATATTTTTTTTTCCCCAAGTACGGTAGCAACATAAAGAAAGTAAACAGAAAAAAAAAAAAAGTCAAAGTAGGTTAAAATAAAAATCAGTACCTGATTTATTTGCTTTAGAAAACTATGGCACCTACCAGAGCTGACTGGCTACAGTTTAATATAACCTATTTAAGATGAGGTCATTTATCATTCCTTAAAACCCCACAAATGATGGATTATTAGGAGTAAAACAAACTGGGTGTACCCAAGGCTTTAATTCCATGTCTGGCCTGTTAGCAGGAATTCTCATATTCATACACTGATGTACCAATGATTTTAAAATGTTGCCAAGGAAAACATAGTACAATTTTAAAATTCATATGGAAGAATAAAAAAATGCATATTAAAACAGAAAAGTATATTTTCATGCTTTAGGTGTCTTGGTTAATCTATAAAATATGGTCAGGATATCAGCTTGGTCCCTGCTCTCCCTGGATATGTTCCTGACCCATAGTAGCTCTTGGCCTGGTCCTGTCATGGTGCAGAGTCTGGGGGAAAGATGGAGCAGAAGGGAAAGAGAGCAGAGCAGCACAAGGCACACAGCACAACCTTCCCTCTGTCGGCGTGTCAAGCACAGACTAAGAGAAAATGTTCTCTATCAGAATATAAGAACCAAATTTCTCTGTACAACAAGCAAAGATCTGTCATAAAAAGTCTCAGTTACAGTGCTGCCTATGTGCAAAACTGATCTAATTATTCTTGGATCTCTCATTTGTCCTCATTACAGCTGGTTTCCTGCAGCTCCTTAAGGAACATATTCATATTTCTGATTAATAAATGCTTTGACTTTCCTACTTCATTTATTACTTTGCCTATCTAACCTATCTTATCTCAGGCTTGTCTCTCTATCAGCATTATTTATATAGCATAAAATTAGCTGCAGTAGGTCACATTCCTTTTGGCAGAAGGAAATATATCTGTCTGGAAAAATGCAAGGTTGCAGGTGGAGCTTGGCTGGTGCAATATATTTACAAGCGTCAAAGTTCACGCCAACCCTTTAATGCAACGTCATCTTTCTTGACAGGTGAGCTCCTGTCACACCTGGCTTATGCAGAACATGAGCTCCAACACAAGAAAAAGTCAGTGGAAGTTCTTGTAATGGACAGTTCCTGTTTATACAGCAGCCATGGAATCAATATGCAGGAGAAAGTATTGCATTTTCTCAAGTCATGCACTTTTTATTTCATCTCAGCAAATCCCATATGGCTGAGGCATTTTTATAAGAATGTGAGCAATTTTGAGCTCTGTGGAAAATGCTGAGTGCTGTTGGATGAAGGCAGAGAAGGGCAGAAGAGGAAAAATACATTCCTTTGAATGCACTAATATAGAAGGCAATTAAGGAATATGACAATAATGAGCAATCATTCTGTCTTGTAATGTATATTTTGCTTTAAAGAGCAGGTGATGACTCCCTGAAAACAATAATATGTAACATAATGAAGTCCTGTCTACACAGGCATGTTACTTCAAATATTTCAGATGAGTTGGCTTGAGCATATTTGTAACAATTGTTTTAAAGTGGCTGGCCTTTCTTTTTTTGCATGAATGAAACCCAGGCTCACTAGCCCTCAGCTATGAGCTGCATCCAGTTTATGAGAGGATTCTGCCCATTTTTGAATAATTTTCCCTCATTGTGTAATGTGATAAGGTTTCTTTGGTGTCTGGCCCCTGAGTGCTCTCTTCTGTTCCAAAATCATCTGGATCAAGTATATTAATCACTCCTGCTGAATGCTGATGGCTTCCATTGCAATTCCAGTATATGTGTGTTCCTCCAGATGCACACTTTTTTTTTTGAGTACCACCTCTTTCCTTCCCTGATATTGTCTCATGGGTTATGTGTATCAGCACATCCAGCCCAAACTTTATGGCACTGCCTCCAATATTACTCTTTGTGACTGTTGGTCAAACTGAATGCAAGAGAGGGACATTCCTGAGAAATGGACCAGTGCTGCCATAAAGCAAAATAACGCCGGCTTTTCTACAAGAACTGAAGGGATGTGAACAGGACTTCCAGGACTTCTAACGGGCCAGAATAGGATAAGCTGTGAAAGATTTATCCATGGGAAGTCAACTGTTGAACCTCTCTATTGTAACAGACCCAGGTGACTTACCACAGCTATCAAATGATGTCACTTCAAACGTGGAGTTGTAGGCCTAATATTGTTTTCAAACCACTGAACTGAAATACAAAGACTGAGGTACAAAAAAGCTGTTTGAAATCCAGAAAGGCGGTTAGCCTGAAAATGCTGCTGAGGGAAGTATTCCTATCACGTCCTATATTATGTCACAGCTTTGCAACTCTAAGCCAGGTGGTATCCAGATGCCATCACTGGCAGGGGAAATTGAGCTATATGAACCATGAGCCTGTTTCCATCTGTCTAGAGCCACCTTCTCTGCTGTGGCCATCATGGTGCACCACAAACAAGGTCCCAGTCTTGTGTTCCCACCTTGTGCTGCTTGCTACACATCTGGGCTCACTGCTGCTCTTCCTGCCACTCAAAAAACTCTCATGGGCAGCATCCCATGAGTTAAAAGGAATACAGATTGTAGGGCAGGCATATTTATTGCAACATCAAATGCAGAAAAAATAAGCAATAGCAAATATACTTTGGCTTATAATTGGTTCAGCATTCTTTAGCTTCCTTTCACATTTTATAAGATGAATTACCAAAATTAAACATTTCAAAATGCTGAGATTATAAAACACTTGTAATCAAACCTTCAGCAATATAAAATTCTTGAATTCAGGCCAATTGCTTTACAGTCTGCTTCCTTCTGGTGCACATGATGCTGACCTGCATGTGTTGCAGGAGGTCGTAGGGCAAAGACTGTGCTTTTATGCACAGAGCAAAGCAGTGCAGCCCTCTTCGTTTCTCATCTGTATGGTCTCTCTCACTTCTGCAGTTGAATATACTTCAGTACCCTTCTATGCAATGCTGCACATCCTTCTGATTCATCCATTGGCTTTTGCTCTAAGACTTTTTCTCAGCTCTTGGAAACATATTCAAGGTAACATTGCTACAGAGGTGCACATAAAACTGCAAACTCAAGCCCTGTTACTATTCAATAACAGGAAACTATCTCTCTCTTTAGCCCAGCATCTTCTTCCCTCCTTCTCATTCCAAGATGAGCACAGGATTTCTACAGAAAAGAAATGTAGAGAGAGAAAGGCTTCTTATTTTTACGCACTATGGGGTTTGCTGAGAACAACCACTTCCTAGGGAAGCCCAAACTGAAAAAACAGATGGGAATGACATTCCAAAATTGATCTGAAATTGAAACCTATGATCATTGGCACTGAGTTCAGTGCAGAAATAACAAATAACTGCAATTTATCTCTGACAACAAAGGCCCCATTATGATGAGGAACTTTAGCCTAACAGGTTGCTTAATGAACAAAAAATACTTCAAAAAGGAAGAGAATAGGAAAGAGAAGTTCAAGGATTCTATGAATGGATTTCAGCACAGGAGCCAGAAAGCAAAAAAAGAGCTGGAAGGATGTTTATGACAACTTGTGTTAACTTGGACATGAGTGTCTAGATTCAGAGGAGTTTGGGATAAGGGAAAATGCCACCAGCAGGAAGATTTGCTGTAAATTGTAGAAAAACCCCAGTCCTCTGAAGAATATTAGGATCTTATGCCACTACTTCAAGTGCACTCTGTGGTTAACAAATAGTGGGAGCTTCTTGGAGATCCCCACGACACCCTTTCCAGAAAACAGGAATGATTTCTGCTTTCTGCAAAGATAGGTGCACTTAGCAGATAAGGTGTGCTATGCCAGAGTTATGCTGAATAAATAAGGTTGCAATGAAAAAATTGGCTGTAGCATCCCATTGAGGTTCTCATTTTCCCCTAATAATTCAAAAACATAACAAAGATACATCTCTCTCCTTATCTTTATAATATATTAATTTTTCACCACTCTATTCTCTCATTTAAGAAAGAGCAGGACAATTCACTCACCTTGTTTTCCTGAGCAGCACAGAGATCTCCTTCTCCTCTCATGGACTTCCAATAAGACATAGTGAACATCTGCCACTTGCAGCAAATATTGATCAGAGTGTTTGTAAGGCTCCTCCACCTGCCCTTAATTTCCCAACAAAGCCCTTTATTATTATTTTACAGTTGGTCAGAACAGTCATGCAGTTCCTTTCTCCAGTGCATTTGCCAAGTAAAAGGCATCATTAGTCAGAGAAGCAGAAAGATGTTTAGACCTCCAAGAGTGAGAAAAGGAGTGGACACATCAATAACATCCATTGCAGTCTGCAGAGCAATTCTTATTTCTGTTTCAGTAAATAAGGCTGAATTTCCAAAAAACCTGTTATTAACCATTGTATATAATTCTATAACATAGAACTTTCTGTAGCGATTCATAAGGCTTTGCTTGAAGAAGCTTGAGAAAAAGAATTTTTTTTCTATTTATGAAACCAAATTTTCAGCTTGAAATATAGGCACATTCAGCCACTGCTGCCAGCAGAGCTTGGGGTCATAAACTTTGTAAAACAGGAAGTATTTCCTCAGTACCAACACAGTGAAATATACATGTGATAAACATTTCTAGCACATACTGGTAGACCATTATCAATCCCAGTGAGCAGAAAGTCCACATGTAGAGGTGCAGCTGTATTGTCTCTTTGCTGCTGAATATTCAGACTGCAATCTGTACAGATGCTTTGCAACTTTACCATCCTAAAGTCCCAGCATAATTACTCTCTATCCCAACCAGCCATGGAATGACTCGGTCTCCACCTCCTCCTTTCCTGCCAGTATCACTACCCCACCATCATGTCTTTCTCTAGTCCATTCTCTGGACTCTCCATCGTTTCCTCCAAACAGGTGGGCAAGCATTTGAAATGGTGGTGGCTTAACACTGCAGGAGTCCTGAAAATAGCTTGGCTTCACACCAAACTGCAGAATCCTAGCAGGTTCCTATGTTTGTTCCTCAAGACAGTGACTGCGGATCATTGCCCAGGAGAACAATTTCCCGGTACAGGGTGTGAATCAATACATGACAGTGCATATGCAAAAAATGTCAGAGAACTGGGGACTGAACCACAATATATAAATCATATGAACAGACATTTTTACCCTAGCTGGTACATATTGGTTATTTCCAAGAAAACGTGTTCCAAAAGCTTTTCTTTATGAACATGGAAATGATTTCTTACAAACAGTCCTGCTGAGTTGCCAGACCCATTCAAAACAAATCCAAACATTTCCAAAAGTAAATAAGGTGTCAAAATGCAATTAAGTAACCTTATGAAAGCAATTCCAATTACTTAAAAGTAATTAAGGACATCTTAAAACTTTAAAATGGCCACATGATGGCCTAGTGCATTATTCTTACCAGATTAAAGAAGAGGTGGAAGCAGGGCTAAGAGGTGGAAGCAGGGCTATGGATAACTTTTGGTGACATCAGCCAGAGTAGTCTTCAGCCATGTAGATTTTTTCCTACATTATTACTGGATGCTGCTGCTATCTGTTCACGCACGTCTCAGCAACATGATTTGAACAGACTTTTACTAAGGGAAAGACTCCTTAATTCTGAATTAAAAGAAAGTACAGATTTCACTTAATATTAACAGCCTCAATTCTGATTCAAAATTGCAGGTCTTAGCTATATTATTTTTATCCTTTCTTTCCAAGTCTGAGTACTTGCTTTTAATCAACAGGAAATGTTGCTGGGTATTAGGTGTGTCAACAATCACATCACTTATATAAGTTACTTACATAATGGGTACTTCTGGAACCTAATGGTTTATATATCAGTTGACAGGAAAATATGAAAATAATAAAGTTTTTGAGAAATACATTGTTATACACATACATTCACCTGAATTTGATTAATATATAGTAACTAGTTACTTTTCCATTGGTATATTAAATATATGTTACACTCTAAGATATATGCAGAGAAACAGGATTTCTCACATATATGGGTGTTTACATTCCATTTTATGTTTTGTTTTCTGAATAACGTTGCATTTGGGTTTACATGTCAAGACTACTGCTGAGAACAGCATATCTTTTTATGCAGACCTGGGTCTTGCTGACAGCAAGAAGTTGTAAAGTTAATTTGTAGAGCTTTCCTGTGGGGGACATACATATATCAATCTAAAATTTAATATGCACAAGGTAACATTAACTTGTTTTAGGGAGGAGATAAGCTATGTCAACACAAGTTCCACTGTTAGTTGAACAAGCATATTGTACAAAGCTGTACTAGTATAATACTTCAAACTAAGAAACTCAAGTAAAGGAGAAAAGAATCCATGCCCTTAAATGTAACTGTTGTGCCAGTGCATTCGGTGATGAACACCTCTTTGTCCTACCAACTGCTGAAATAAGTCAAATTCTCAGGTGAATATTGTCATGGCAAAAGTATTAATAGCTTGTGCACTGGAGATAACTGATAATTAAACACCCAGGATGAGGCTGGCTGCCCGGAGAGCTAAGGATGCCAGGCCAGGAAAGCCACAAGAGAGCTATAAAGGCGATGAGTAAAAGCATTCTGTCAGCTGAGGTGATGGGGTCTTCCGTGCAGCATCGGGGATCGCAGGAAAAAGAGAGGGATATGCATGCAATTTGATCAGATCCATGGTACAGCGCGTCTGTGGTAGAAAGAGAGGATAGAAGCAATACAGTTTCTCTGAGTTTCTACAAAATAAAAAGTGAGAATAAAGCGAGGGGAGGGTGAGACGGGAGCGGCGCGGGGTGGCCCGACCGGCTGTGGCGGTAGCAGGGCGCAGTCCAGCTCGGCCGGCGGCCGAGGGCCCGGGCGCCGTGAGGCGGAGCTGCCGCGGCGGCTTCGCGGGGGCCGCGGCCAGCCCCGAGCGAGCGAGCCGCTGACAGCCGTGCCGGGCGCTCCGGGCAGAGCACAGCACAGCACAGCCCCGACGTTGTAGCCAACAACCGGCAAAGACCGATGAGCATCGCTTCGACCCGGCAGGGGGAAAAACCCCAAAGTAACACCTATGACAGGGAAAAAAAATTTAAAGAAATCAACCCACTGCTTGAAAACCGCGCGGTTCAATGTCCGGCAACAGGTGGCTGAAGTTGCAGGGAATTTACGGACGGGGACGGCCTTGCCCGGCGGAGAGCTCCGGATCCCCGACCTGGCAGAAGAGGACCGGGCTCCGGCTGGGGCCACCTCCGCCTCCTCCCGCGCTACCCGGGCCACCACCGCCGCCTACAAGTCCCGTCATGCCCCGCGCCGTCGCGGCCGCTGCCGTCGCGCCCCGTCCCCCCTCCCGCGCCGCTCCCCGCCCACTGCCGGCAGCGCACGCGCAGCGGGGGCGGCGTCCAGGGCAAGTCTCCCCAATGTAAGATGGTGGCCGGGCTGGCAGCGGAGCGCCCCGAGCTTGGAGATCGCCCGTCCCTCGCGTAAAGGTCGTCGGAGCAGCCGCCCGAGCGCCCGACCGGCTGCCGCCATACGTCTCGCCCCAGGAGCACCGCTGCGGGTTTCTCCTCTCCGCTTCTCTCCTTCCTCGCCGCCTCTCTCCTTCCCTCCCCACCCTTCTCCTCCTTTTCCCCTCGCCTCCTTTCCCGCACGCTCACTCACCCACCCGCCTGGCCGCCCCCGCCGCGCTGGGCAGCCTGAGAGGGAGAGCCGCGCACACGCACCGCGGGCCGGGCAGGCAGGAGGAAGGCGGGTGAGTGCGAGCTGAAGGCCGGGCCGGGGAGGGAAGGAGGAGGGAAGGAGAGACGAGGAGGAGGCGGGGGGGAGCCGGGCCGCTCTGACTACGAGAGCGCCGAGGCTTCGCTGGGACGGCGCAGGCCGCAGCCCACCCGCCGGTGCAGCCCCGGCGACGGCAGGACGCGCTGGGCCGCTGCCGGGCGCCGAGGGCACCGGGCCGTAAGGGGAGGGCGCGGGGGCGAGCGGGCGGCTCCTCCTCCCCGGGGGCACCGGGGAAGGGGCTCCCTCCGTGTCGCTGCCCGGAGGAGGCTGTACTGATTTCCTCCTCGCCCCCCCTCCGGCGCGGGGAAGCCCTTGGGACGGCCCGGGCCACCGGCCGGGCTGGCGGAGGGACGGTGGCCCCGGAACCGCTCGCATTTGCCGGGGCAGGCCGGTGCGGCCAGGCGCGGGCATCGCAGCGTGATTCACTTAGAATTTGCGTGGAAATTTCCTCTCTCCCCTTCTTCCTCTTCCCTGGAGCCAGGCTCCATTTCTTCTTGTGATAAGCACTTTTTTCCTGAGGGAGAGGCAAACAGATGGTGAATGGCAGCCTCTTAATTTTAGTGTTATTTTGGACAGTCCGTGCAACCTCCTGAGATTTGTCTGTCAGTAAAATAATCGGTACGTAACTTTCTGTCTCCTGCTTGCAAAATCCTAGAAGTTCTTTCCATTTTGTGTATTAGCAGAAACAAATGACAAGGCTGTGTATGGGTGCTTATCCTGCTTCTAGCGACGGTCCTACAGCTCTACCTGCCAGTTTAAAAGTGAGCAGCCGGTGCCTTTGTATGTACAGTAAAGGGGAGGGAAAATACACTAGATAATTATCTTAAAATGCTTTGTTACTATACCAGAGAGGATTTAATTGTCCATGGCTTGTATGCTTCTGTCAGTGTGGTAATACTAAGTATGCTGTTCAGAGGAGAAGCAATTCTCTCCAGAGTGTATGTTAATGTGAGCAAAATCCACAGCTGGTTAAAGCTGTGGAAATTCTAGACCTGCAGATGTTGGCTTACTCCTGTCCAAAAGTTTTAGGAGTTAATTTTGGCCAGTCACATGTTTACTGAGCCTGTACAGGTTTCTAACTTGCTGTGTTTTAACTGCCTGTGTTTTGTTTTAGTTTTGAGATGTCTTGACTCGAACATCCCTGTACTTTGACTTCATATTCATGTAAACATGGTGTCTGGCACTAGGAGAAGAGCACACGTACTGAAAGATGAATATGTAGAGGAATGAAACTTTTTCTAGCCCCTTTCACTGCTTAAAAAGGAAAGAGAAAAAATAAAATACAGGCTTATGAAGAGCAGGGAATAAAACAGCCTTGTTTGACTCAAGAGGGTGAATTAGTTTCACATGGCCTTCAAATAGCCAAATGTACTGCTAGTTTCTTAGCACCTCTGTAATAATGTAGTGATCTAACTTGTGGTCTAGGATTCAGCTGTGCTGCACCTTAGGCTTTTGGAATTCTGCAATAGAGTTTCCATTTCATAAACAAGATGAACACATGTTTAGAAATGCTTGGCAGTTGAACTTGGCTGAATTGAAAACTAAGTTCATTTTAGGGGAAAAGATTGTTTTGGAAAGGGGGAATACAGTGATAAAATTATGTATTCTTTTAACTTGCATGTTTCTTTAGATGCCTCTTTGTTAGCTTTTTAAAATTAGGATGTTGGAGGGTCCTAGCAGTTTTTCTTTTTACAGAGAAAAGGTGGTGAGTGTCTGTCAGGAATAGTGCTCTACTAGTTTCTTGGTGCTTCAGAAAGTTTAAGACCATCCTTAGAGTGCCAACTAAATAAAAAACTTGGGTTAAAAAGGCTGGTGAGAGAGCATACACAAGTACATGGCTTTTTATGTAATAAAAATAATCTTTATGTAAAAGTACATGTTTTCCTTCATGGCTATTGTTCATAGAAGTTAGGATATTCTTTGTGAGCTAAATGTTTTTGAAATAGCTCTGACCAAGATCCTAAGTATGGGCCCTGAAGGCTTAACTCTGGCAACTATTGCTCAAAATCTCACCTACCTCTTTGAAATAAATGAGATTATTTCAAATAGACCACTCTGTAAGCACAGGTAACTGTTAAGTGGCTGATAACAGATTGCATCTTGGGTCTTGGTTGCTCTGGTAAGATGAGGCTGATCTATAGGCCTTAACACATGCTGGAAGGAAATTACTTGCTCAGCAAGATTGCTGGGGTCAAGGGTTCTTAAACTTTCACACGGTGAATAGTGCCTTAGGTTGTACAAAACACCTCTTGTCCCACTTGCAGTTATGCTGTATTGCTGAGATAACTTGAGTAAGTGCATATGTGAAAGACTGCATAACTTACCTTGCTTCAATGTCCTGAATGTTTTTTCTCTTTAAAGGTGTTCATGCTTTCTTTTTGGTTTTTTTTTCAGTGTGTCTCTTTCTACCTGTTTAGTCCCCTTTTTATTGGATGGTAACAGTGTGAGGAGATGGAACTTTATGAATAGAGTCCCCATCCCTCTGGGCCGCCCTCTTCTGTTTCTTGGAGAATAGTCTATGAATTTATTCTTTTCAGAAGGTTGGTTAACATTTGTTAACATTTTAACTACTGTAAATACTTTTCATACTTGGAAAATTAAGTATAGCAGCAAATGGTTTGGCATGGCTTGAGCTGCTGCTCAGGCCTTCTGGTTCTTCCTGTAAGTAAATTGGGAGGGCAGTGCAAGTGTCTAGCAGGAAATATGAATATAACATATCTAAGTAAAAGCATGCATTAGACTGTTTGGATCAGTTAGGTGCATGTTTTTACCAGACTGGGATTTTTTTCTGTCACACCAGAAACTTTGACGTGCTTGGTTTTGTCAGATGGCATATTTCTTGTATGAGTTTGAAAAAGGAATCTTCATCGTCTTCTTAGTTCAAAATTGTATTCAAGATTATACAGATTTAGTGAGTATTCAGGATACATACTTTTGGCTTCTGGTTAGCTGTTATTAGACTGGCTGCATCAGCTCAAAGGGAAGATTAGTGTCTAAACTAGTGATTTCTACATAGTGCTAAAATCAAGTAAGTTTTGTGATGATATGTTTTATTTTCTTTCCTTCCACTTGGCTGTTCTGGGAACTTGACAACTTCGAGGTATTTCTAGTAGGAATCTATCATCATTTAAATGGAGCTGGCAAGTGTTTTCTAACCATGGATGTGCAAAATAAGGTGTTCATAAATCTCAAGCATGTGCTTTAACAACTTGAGGAAGCCTGCATCCAGAGCTATCAAGACAATCACCGGCCAAGGGAATGACACTTCTTATCCTTTTCTGTGTATCCTGAAAACTATGTTTTTATTCTGGAGCAGAATATGTTAGTGTTGATTTCATAATGGTTAATCAGTTGTTAGTGTATTTTTATTGAGGTATTTCATCTGTTGCTGGTTTTCAAATTGAGGAAAAATAGGTTGGGATCAGCATAAGGGAGATTTTTTAATCCTTTAGTCACTGAGTTAAAAATAAAGGTAGATGTAGAGATCAAGCAAACATGCTACTGAACTTGGTGGAAAGGGAGCTTGGATCTTTGCTAAGGCTTTTTCTCTGATCAGTGCTGTCTGATTTTGATCCAGTTCTGTTCTCTTTCAAGGGAAAAATGGAAAACTTCATCTGTAGCTTTCTAACATACTGTGATCCCAGCATCTGTTTCTTCTATCTCACTGTTGTCTTGAGAGCAATAGATGCCCAATATGAAGTGGATTTCAATTGACTACAAAATCAGATGTAAAGTAATTGTACTTCTGCATATCTTGGTTGAGAGATGGCGGGTCACTTGTTGTAGTGCAGGCTCTTGTACTGTCTGAGCTCCTTCTGGGCTTTGAGTATTTTACTTTTCTCAGCTTAGCAGTCTTTCATTGCTGGCAGGTGATATTGCAGTATTTTGTATTTGATTGCAAGAATCAATTATTAGCACTAGAAATTTGGGGTGATGTTTTTGTGGTGTTGGGGTTTCATTTATTTTTGTTTTCTTTTTTCAAAACAAATGAAGTGAAAGAAACTGCAAAAATGGCAGCACACTTCTGTCTTCACTTCTAACGAGTTCTTCAAATCCAAAACAGAATCACATGAGCTTTGTAGGGATGGCCAAAAAATGTGATAGGCATGTGTACTGTGATTTTCAAGCAGTGCTTCATCCCAGGTTTTACTTTGGGCCATTTTTAGGCCTTTTTTGTGGTTGAGTGCTTATGTTTCACACTGCTGAGGCCTAATCTTTTCCTTGCTTAACAGAAGGGGCATTTATTTTTTCCTGGTGTGGATGTTCTTAAATGTTTTCTTCCAGATAAGATTTGATATGCAAAAGTAGTAACTAAAAGGGTGGCCAACTTAACCCTTCTAGAATAAAATACACTGCATTGGTAGACTTGTAACAATTTTTCAGGAGCACTGAATTCAACAGGTGAGATTTATTTGAAAGCAGGCTTCAT